CCTAGCCCAGATATCCACCAGCCTGAGATATCATATCCCCTAAAGATTCAGGGCCTTACAATACACATATGCATTTTATTTTATTAAGTTTTCTTGATGTCTTTGTTTTTACATCATATGTTTCCAAATATATCAACCTCTCCTACTCAGCAAATCTCTCCTTTTAAAAAAATTTTTTCAAAGCAGTTCAGCAAAGCAAACTAACACGTCAACTGTATCTAAGAGTAATATGCCACATTCAACATCTGTAGTCCCCCATCTCTTCAATGAAAAAAGGGGGGTACATCTTCCCTTTTCTTCTTGGGGTCAAGCTTGGTCTGAATATGCATATATGTATATATAGATATAGATATATTTAGGCAATGGGGTTAAGTGACTTGCCCAGGGTCACATAGCTAGTAAGTGTCAAGTGTTTGGTCTGAGGCCGGATTTGAACTCAGGTCCTCCTGGCTTCAGGATTGGTGTTCTATCCACTGGGCCACCTAGCTGCCCCTTAATGTGCATATTAAAGACGTCTTCACTGATCCTCCCCTTCCCCTCCCCAGCTCCTAATGCCTCCCTTCCCCAAATTACTTTTTATTTGTTTTTGGCTGTAATTTGCATACTCTTAAATATGTATCCAACCTGCCTTTCAAGGTACAACAGTGACAGGATATCTAGAAATAGATGTAGACTGGGATAGGTTTGTATAGAATTCTGGGAAGAAGAGACAGATGCTCAGAAGTCAAGAGGAAATAACATTCTCCACCTTGAGTTAGAGAAATATGTGGAGTGACTTGTTTTCTCCCCAGCAAAACTAACCAAGACAAAAACACTGATGACAGTGTAGTTGTGTTATAATGAATTCTTTCCAATTGGGTAAGGTAACCCGTCATAGACATTATCCCCTCCCTGGTCCCCTTCACTGCCACTTTGAGGAGAAGGTACCAATGAACTGCCTCTCTCCAGTGTATAAGCAGAAAGCCCTTCTGGCTCCCTCAAGTCAGACCCTGCTATACATTAACTATTCTGATTAACTCCTATCCTCCCATTGAGCATTCTATTTGATCCCCTACCCTGCCTTTTATGTTCTAATTCATCTTCTTTGATGCACAGAACTTTTTTTTTAAGCAAGGTAGCCTTGGTGATGTGGTCTTTGGGGGTAGAACTGGAGGTGAGAGGAGATAGACTTGGTCCAGAATGACCATAAGAAATTCAGTCAGTGCTCAGTTGAAGAGACATCCTCTAGGACTAAAGTAAGAGAACAATGAGCTTTCTTGCCTGCAGCATCAGCTACATCTCCCAATGAGTTTTAAGCCAGTCCAAAATAACAGACAAGAGAGGTAAAGAAAGAACGGACAGAACATTATAATCAAACCTGCATTCGTCCCTAGATACAATATCAGTCCAATGTTAGAAGTCCATCAGCAAAAAAGAGAGAGAGAGAGAGAGAGAGAGATCGGAAGCCAGGAGAGGAATTATGTTACCTGACTTTCCCTGGATTCTTCTGCCCCTGGAACTCAACCTTATTTGCTACAAATGAGCCATGAAAACCTCATTACAAATGGAGCTCCTAAAGCTCTGCTACACATTTGTGTCATCTTCCTCTGGAATAGAATGGAAGGTCCTTGACAGCAGGAACTGTCTTATCTTTGTCTTTGTATCTGAAGCCCCTAACTCAGTGCCCAACTCTGGTGCTTCATTAATACCTGATTGATTGATAGTCTGGTATTACAAAAGGGACACATGAAGGGATAGAGTGTGAGATGAGGCTGGAAAGGTAAACTGATGCCTGATTCTGCAGGGCTTTGAATGCCAGGATAAGAGAGTTCATTCATTCAACTAACACTTATTTAAATGCCTATGATGTGGAGCTGTTTGGCACAGTGAGAGATAGTCCATAAGCAATGAGAAACCAGTGAAGATAGGCACTATATGTGAGGAAGATTATTAACCGGGCAGGTTGTGAAAGATGGATCACAGGAGGGAGAGATTGGAGGTAGGAAGGTAATTTAGGAGGTTATCACAAAAGTCAAGTGAGAAGCAATCAATCAATAAGTGTTCATTAAGCACCTGGTATGTGCTAGGAGCTGTGCTATGCATCGGGGGAGGAAATGAAGGCCTGAACTCAGGAAGAGTCAGTGACGATGAAACACAGTAGCTCTGGAATCTGTCTGCTCCTACCCTGTTTAGATTCAGGAGCACAGAACTCGCTGAATTTAAGCATCTTTTCGGGGCAGGAATTCCTAACCCTAATTTTGAACATCAAGAGAGAGAGAAGAGGAAATTAGCTGTTTTGTGTGGGTGTATAACCCTGGACTGGAACATTGCCACTACCTCCTTCCTTTGGCTTTATAAGAATTCCTGTCACATGATTTCAGAGAAGTTCCCTCCTTTCCCCAAAGACAACTACATCAGAAGGGAGTGGAGCAGCCCCCAAACTTAACCCTGTCCTAACCCATTCCATTCCCCTTTGTTCCATTGTCGACGACTGACAAAGGCTGAAACCTCAGAACCCTTAGAGGAGGGGCTTGGACCAGAGCTGATGGGAAAGAATGAGAGTAGCTAGAATCCTCACTGGAGGGATCCAAAGCTAAGGACCCAAAAGACTGAATTGTTAATTAAAGGGGAATGAAAAGTGAGGGAGCTAGAATGAAAAGTAGGGGAGCTAGAAAGAGATTATCTGGGTTCTGAGAATATAGTGGAACCAGGAGGGCAACGTTCCTGCCAACTAACCAGCTGTATAATTTTGGACAAGTCACTTTCTGTGTACCTCAGTTTCTTCCTCTGTAAAATGAGAAGCAAGGCTAGAGGTGGGAGAGAGGCTAAAGGTAGCTGAGCTCTGAGGTCCCTTCCAGCTCTAAAAGTCCATATTTCCAAGTCAGAAGCCATTGAGAGGAGTAGGCTAGGGTTCACAGTTTCCATTATAGGAAGAAGGTGGTAGGGATAGATTAAAAAATCTAGAACACAAACAATTGATATTGTTTACTTGTCTTTGATTATATACATATATATATATATATAAATATATCCGAGGTAAGTGATAATAAGTATTGACTCCAGTAAATTTAATAATATTTAGCAACTTAGTCTTTATCTTGTAGTAATAGAAAGTGATCTATAACATAAATCTGAACAGTTTTTGAATTCTTACATGTATGTTTTCCCATTAATTATTTCATTTGGTCAAATCTGTGAAGCAGAGAGGGCAGGGAGGATCATCCCCATTGTACAGATGAGAAAACAGGTCCAGAAAGGCCAAGGTCATGAGGTCACACATTTGAGCCTCCAAAGCTCCCCTGCCCATAACTGCCCGTATGTACTTCGCCCAGATATGGTAAACTCAGCACTCTCCCCTTCCCGTGGCACCCTCCCAGAACCTTTCTCTGTTATGGTGCAGCATAAAGATCTCTCTATTTAGAGTCCTAGAACTCTTAAGTTAGAATCCCGGCTCTGCCCTTTCCTCCCTGCATAACCGGGGACAAGCCAATTATTTCATCTTTCTGGTCCTCAGTTTTACCTGTAAAATTCGGGGGTTGAATTGGATAACCTTATTCCTATTCCCTTTCCCTTCCTAAATTTACAATTCTTTACTTCCATATTGTTTCCTCTCAGATTCCTTGCTTCTCAAGGAATTCTGGGTTCAGGCCTTGCCCTGGTCAATGAGGCAAACTCAGGAAATAAGGCAAAAGTAGTTTATAAACACACCAAGTTAACAAACAGTTGGGGTGCAGCTGGCCCCAATTACAAACAGCGCAGGGCTTTTATAGACAGGAGCAAACAAGTTCCACATAAGGGCAAAAAAAAAAAAATGCTGATTGGTACTCATATTATAAGGAAATGGGTTTTAAGCCATTTCTCAGCCGTTGCGCCCTAAGCATACATGTATACTTCTAGACCAACATTTCCTACAGGCTGTTTAAGCAAATACCCAAAGGTCAAGCAAGATTTAACCAGCGAGCTCGTTAGGCTAACTTTGCACAGCTAGAACTTAGTTTTCTCCTGAAAAATCTCTTGTTACCCTCCCAAAGGCTGGCTTCTCCTCTCATCCACCATAAGGTATAGACCAGGAGGAGGAATCAGCTTCCCATTGCTCCTTTCAGACCCTCTCTGTAACCACCTCTCTTCTGTGAATGTTCCCTCCAGTGGCAAAACAAATTGCGGTTCATGACTTTTTTTAATTTAATCTTCAGTTCATAATAAACTTAGCAAACATCAGTAAACATGAACATTTCAAGATACAATTTCCCATATATAAAGAACAGAAAAAGACAGTTATATATGAAGCTGTGAATTTCTATTAAGTAGAGTTTGCTTTATTTTTAAAAGTATTAAATTTATGCTTGCCTTCTCTAGGAGGGGGAGAGGGAAGAGGGAGGGAGAAAATTTGGAATTAAAAAATTTTTTAATGATTGTTAAAATGTTTTTACATGTAATTGGGAAATCTTTAATGATGTAATAAAAATACATTTTTTAAAAAGCAATAGTAAGGGTAATTACATAGTAGTAATATACTACTGTCCTTCTTGTCCATGTCCCTTTCTGAACTTCCTTCTGCTCGCTTCTGTATATTTTTAATGGTGATTACCTTGATGCTCTTTTGTTTTCTCTTTTCCATCATTATCACTACTCCCAATAATTACAGTCTTCTTCATCTCAATCCCTGAACTTTCTAAACTCTTTGGCCTCTGGGTTCCTTATACTCCTCAATTCCCTTGACTTCAGTCTCTCAAGCTTTCACAGCAGTGGTAATAGTTGATCACCACCTGCCCCTCTCTCCTCCAGCTACCACTGAAGTTACTTCTAGCTGCTCAGCTGAATTTGGCTTAGATTCTGAAATTGTTAATTGTGGCTCAGACTACATTCTTTCCTCATAGTCTCAAACCAGTGAGGGTAAATTCCTAGCAGGATCATGAAGTTAGAGCATACTTCCGTAAATAGAATTTGCTTTCCGTTTCCTCTAAACTTCAGCCTTTAATCTCAAATCTTAGTCCTTGACATTTATTCACAAGGAGAGAGAGAGAGAGAGAGAGAGAGAGAGAGGTTCTAAGTCTGACAGAAGGTACTCAGCAAAAGAAGCAATAGGTTGTTTGTGGAAGCAGAGAGGAAAAAGAAGAGGGAATACTAGTTTCAGTGAAAGGAGGGAAGGGATGTAGATCCAGCAAAAGCAATTTAAAGTGAAGCTACAGTTGGGTTGATACTGCATTATGGCGGAGGAATCAAGGCAAGAGATTAGATGGGGAAGAGGGTTAGGAAGGCAAAAAGTCGGCACTCCTGAGATCAAGGAGACAACAGGGACATCTGAATAGAGAGCCCTGGGAGTGAGATACATGTGTTTCTAGAAGCAAAGCGGTAGGCTGGAAGAGAGATGAATTATGTATTTTGCCTTACAGGATACTTGCCTACTCAGAAACAAGAGACAAGAATGGGGAAAATGTTAAAAGGAACTCCAATTTTTGGATTTACTTTTGTGAGTATGATTACCTCTGTCCCCATAGGTTAGATGGCCACCTCTACCTGACTTACATCCTATCCAAGTTCTATCCTCTAATAAGAAAGGAATGTGCAGCAGGACTCCTGGGCTCAGTTCAGTTAGGATGTTGTTTGTCTTTTGCTCTTGAAGAGGACCATGACATCAGGGAGGTGATGCCATGACATGCAAGTGAATTGGATTTAAGTGAGGCAGGGCTGTGTAAGGTCACCAGCCTCACTTTCTCCTTAAGAGTCATCTGGGTCCAGTGGTGAAATATAGATCAGGACAACTGGAGATGGCCCAGGGTGCAGTGGGGGACCTTGGCCTTTTCAAGCTAAGGTCTTTAACAGGTCTCAGTTTGACTGAGGAAACCAAAGTTAGGATGGCATAATAAGGGCTTCCCAATCTTTGCATGAAGTTTACTTTTCTTGTTTTTTGAAGGCCTGGAGGTCAGCAGGGACAGAAGATTAGGAATCCTGATGAAGGAGGTTGTGTCAATAGCATTAGCCTTTAATCTACTAATAGGATGAAATTTTCAGGTTAGGACCCCTTCTTGGAGACATTGGTCTGGAAGACTGGATACCTGGATTCCAGCTCCAGGTCTCCATTTCATGTGTTAACACTAAGCCGATTTCTTTCTACCCTTGATTTCCTCCTTTGCAAAATGAGCTGGTTGAATTAGGTCAAGAGTTAACCTTTTTGTGTCATGTAACCTTTTAGTAGTATGATAAAACCCGCAGACCCCTTCTCAGAATAATGTTTTTAATTAATTGAAGGAAATGCTAAATTTCGGTTACAGTCAGTGAAAATAAAGATGTAACTATTTTCTGCATCCAAATTCATAGACCCTTCCAACCCCGTGGAAGCAGTAAGAACTGCTTATCTGGGTGATTTCTAAGGTACCAGAGCTTGTAGGGCCAACATTCTATGATCTTTATCCTTATTTTGACCTTAAGACTCTGGGCCATGGATTTCCTCCTTCAGAGGAGATAGAGGGGACATAATGGGGTTGTATGTCCTAGTACATGGTTTTTTCTATCTTTTCTCCAGGATGACAGAGAAACAAAATGGGGTCTTGAGGCAATGGGGTGTGAAATAATCATAGCAGTAACAGCAGGATTTCTATTTCTGACTGTTTTTCTTATGATATGAAAGTGAGAAAAAGGTTGCTATTGACTATGAGTATATACCCTGTAGTCCTTAGGGGTGGTGGTTGTTGTTCGGTCATTCATTTGTGTCCAACTCTTTGTGACCCCGTGGACCAGAACACACCTGGCCCTTTTATCCTCCACTATCTCTTGAAGTCTGTCCAACTTTGTGTTCCTTGTTTCCACGACACTATGCATATCTCATTCTCTTCTGTCCTCTTTTCCTTTTGCCTTCAATTTTTCCTAACATCAGGGTCTTTTCCAATGAGTTCTCATTACGTTGCCAAAGTATTTAAGCTTCAGCGTCAGTATTTGACCTCTCAGTTAATAGCCTGAATGAATTTTTTTAAGCATTGACTGATTTGATCTCCTTAGAGATTCTCAAAAGTCTTCTCTATCAGTCCTTGAGGAAACGGGGGGGGGGGGGGGGGGGCGTTAAAAGGAGAGGTTCTTTTGGGATACCTAGTATTTTTCAGTGAGGATTACTTTTGCATGTTTGGGTTTGGAGGCACAGAATTAAAACTTTACACCCTGCTCTGATCTTCTGGTTTGTCACAGGGTTTGGCCCCAATTCCACCACTCTCATTTGGCTATCCTACACCCTCTCCCAATCTGGTGCTTCTGTTCTCCCTCTGCTCGATATGATCGGTGACTCTGGTCTCCCATTCCTAAACAAGACAATCCATCTACTGACCTTATGCATTTTCACTATCTGTTTCCCACTTCTGGAATTCTCTCCCTCCTTATTTTGACTTCCTGCCTTCCCTGGCTTCCTTTAAGTCCCAGCTAAAATCCTTTTGCAAGAAACTTTTTCCAACCTCTGTTAATGCTAGTGACTTCCTTCTGTTAATTATTTCCAATTTTCCTGTATCATTTGTACATAGTTGTTTTCCTGTTGTCTCCCCTATTAGATTATGAGCTCCTTGACAGCAGGGACTATCTTTGCCTTTCTTCGTATCCCCAGTGCTTAGCACATTGTCCAGCACATAGAAAGTGCTTAATAAAAAATTGTTGACATGATCGTCTTCTACTTCTCCAGCCCTCTCACCTTAATATTCCACAATGATCTGACCATCTCCCATCCTCTCATTTGGCCTCATATAGTTTTTCTTCCAGAAAAAAAGAAAAGGACATCAACATTATGACCAACAAATAAGTGCCACAGCAAAGGAAAGGCCCTGTAAAAATGTGTGTAGTATTAGAGTTGCTCCTCTGTTGTAGGAATGTGTAATTTCTGCTCATTAACTTACCTAATAAACTAATGCATACATCTAAATCTCACCCATGCCATCTGTCTCTGTTAATGTGCCACCTCCCCAGGAAGCTTTCCCTAACTTTGTCAGTTCAAAGGGATTTCTCCCATCTCTGAACTCCTTTATCAGTCAGTCTTTCTGATTCATTTGACAGTACATACAGTGATCTTTTCAGACGTGTCTCTCTCACTTGCCCAGGTGGATGACAAACTCTGAAGTTACCAGTGTCTTATTCAAGCCTTATACCAGTCTAGCCCTGCCCCCTTCCCCCAGCTCTGTGTTTATTGAATAGAAAGCTCTAAAGGACTTCTTCACGCCCTTTGCCTGAATGCTCCCTCGGGAAAAGTTGGGGTGTTTAATTGCGAGCTCCTTTATTGACCTCGGGCGTCCTGATGTCATGGCATCACCTCCCTGATGTCATGGTCCTCCTCAAGAACGAAGGACAAACAACAACATCTTCCTTCGCCTTGCAACTTTCCAAACCCCCCCTGAGCCCGCATTGCGTGGGTGATGGGTCTGCTAAAAGAGACTAGAAAGGCATCTGGACCCTCGGGTTCTGCGAGAGGTCAAGAGAGTACAGTACACGGGCGCCGCGGGACCAGGGGAATGAGGGGCGGAAAACGATCCCAACCGAGGACCCGGCCCGAAGCTCGGGGTGGGCCAGGGTCTCGCTCCCCTGCCCAGGACTCTAGCCCCTCCCAGGCCTCCTTCGCCTCCGTCTACTACTCCCGCTCTGCGAGCGTCGAACCGCTCGCCAGGCCCCGCCCCCGCCAGATTGCTCGCACCCCTCCCCCTCCTGCTCTCCTTCCACGCAGGCGCATTAGGGAGGGCTCCCAATCCTGGCCAAGAGGCCGAGGCGTGAGGGCCCAGTTGCGGTGATGCTGGGGCAGCCGAGTGCGCGCTCCCGGGGCGTCTCCCGACACCATGGCTTCCTCAGACTGGCAAACGCCCTTTGTTAAATATTAACTCCCCGGAAAACTCCCCAGTTTTCCCAAAAAAATTTTCTTGAATTGTTCATTTTCTTTCCTTGATGTTTTATATGCCTGGATTTACTGGATAATTGACTCAATTCATAGTAAGCAATCAATGACTCATGTGCCCCCTTAACCTCCCCAGAATTATCTGTATTTTTTTTTTGGCAAGGCAATGGGGTTAAGTGACTTGCCCAGGGTCACACAGTTAGTAAGTGTTATGTGTCTGAGGCCGGATTTGAACTCAATTATCTGTATTTTTAAAAAGGACAGCTTCGTCCTTTTTCGGAATCGGGAATGTTCAGAGGAGGCTCGCAGGGCAGCTTTTTGCCCCATCCGACCCCAGAAAAATCAAATCTCAGTTTCTATCGCACTCCATGAACTCTGCTTCCAGTGATTCTGAGCCTCAGACCATCTATGAGCAACTCTGGAGATGCAGACAAAAAGAGCTGTGAGGATCTGTTTCTGGGACTTAGAGGAGCTTTAAAAAGTAATTCAATAAGTCAGTGTTGAAAGGAATAGGCTCTTTTATGTCATGTTTAAAAGAAGGCCTTGTGACTTGACTGGAGACTTCCAAGGGTTGGATCACCTAGGGATGGTAGGGGTAACAAAGGAAGGAGACTGCTGCAGCATCCACTCCCAAAACTGGGGCAGAAGCTGACATTTCCAAAATTAGGGCAGCACATTGACCCTTCCCTCACTTCCTACAACCATTCCTGGGACCCAGACCCATGCTTCCACAGGAGGGCAGGCAAAGGGGTGGAGGATGAGGGCAACTGAAGATGTTCCCAGAGAACTTTGGACATGATAATTGTCCAGACATGGCAGGAGGAGGGAGTCCATGATTGTTTTACAAGAGTCAACTCCCAATTCTTAAGGCATCTTTACACCCAGCTATCATGATTTCCATCAGTGAGATTCCTAGATCCATCTTCAGTCTGTGCCCCAGTGCATCTCAGGCAAGCTGAACAGGGTCAGGCATTTTTGACATGGAGAGACAGGAGCCCACTTAGGTCATTCTATTTGATTTCCCACTCCTAATTGGCCAGAAGGTTACAATTGTCTAGGAAGCTGGAAGTTGCTATTTTATAAAACTTTGGGCATAGAAGATTCAAAATATCCAGGAAAGTTTAGGAGGACCTTTCTGGAATTGCAGGGTCTTTGGAGGACCAAACAAAGGTCAAAGAGATTTTTGGTGGGCACATAAACACACACCCACTTCCCAGATTTCCCTGGGGCTTTCAGTTTTGAGAGAAATTTCTTCTAAGAAGCCACATGGCAGAGATTGAGAAGAAAGAGGAAGTGGCAATGTCTAGGTGCATACTTCACCTGAGTCAGTGAAGAGCAGGGGATGTAGCATCATCCCCCATCATTGGAAAGCAGGAGCTGAGACCTCCTTACTGACTTGACCCCAAATGCTCACTGGGGCCAACCAGAAGGGAGGAGAACATATTGAGTCCAACCTGAAGCCTGTGTTTGGTGCAATGAACGAAGTTTAGTACACAGCTCATCAGTCCTCCTCTCCTTCCCTGGAGCTCAGTGTGAGGAAAGCTCTCTCTTCCTTTAATTCCTCCATCTCTTTACTTCCTTTTGTCCCTCAGAATGGCAGGAAGAAGGACAGGGGT